TTGCAAGATGTGCGTAATTCCGAAAACTTTATTAAGTTGGGTAGAAATCACCAACGAATGCAACTTATAGTCGAAATGGTTTTCTATTGATACTCAGAAACAATAATAAAGAGTTAATATAGGTACCTGCTGAGACATTTCTTTGTCACTTTTATTTACCAAGTCATTACTGAAACTAACGGCTTCAATAAAAATGTCACTAGTCAACGCCATGTTCTATATTTTCAACACTATAGTCAGTTAGTGAACAACACACTATACCACGGACATTTATTACAATTAACTGCCTTCATTATGAAACTCGTAAGTTTCGCGAAAGTTTGAGCGTAAACTAAGTCAACTACTTCCCGTTATAGGCTGACATTTCCGCCACCGCTGAAGACAAAAGTTGCCTTTCTTAAGGTCTAGTTAGTTTAATTGGGAAATTATGTTAATAATCCTCACGAGATTGTAAAATACGCACTTGCGGCAAATTTACTTCTAAGAGTTGTTTTCAAATCTAGCGCTTTCCAACTACTGAGATAGCGAGCGTATCGTTCTTCAAGCGCATGGTCCTATTCCTCTTCTGTCTCACTCTGTGGGTGTTGACATTGTTTTCATCTTCATTGATAAGAACTCAAACTGGCCTTAATTTGAATTTCCACTAATTACTTGTAGACTTATTCATGCCAGGTTGGTTTCAAAGAAATAAATGTAAAAGCGCATCGAGGACTCGCAAAATCAATAATAAAATGAAAGCATTTTTCTATTAATGAAATAACTGAAAGATTATTTCTTAGGATATAGATTGAATGAAATTTGCCTTATACAGCGGCATACCACACACAAAATGATGACCATTCGGATTCGACGTTTGTATACAAATTTGCTTTCGCGCAGGGATAACAAAGAGGGAGATTTTTTCAGCAACTCAAATAAGATATTCTTTTGAAATTATTCCCTTCGATCCTGTTTTACCAATAAACAATTTTCTTTACATTACTTTTCCCATACATTTGAATTTATAAGTTTTACGCGTAAAGGAGCTTTAATGAGTGATCGCATGTAAGTATAAAGAAAGCAAGGGACCGTAAAGGTAGCAGAACTACTTATCGTCAACATAAGCCTTAAGGGTGATTTAAATTAATTAATCACACAAGTTCGTTTGTTTAAACGATTGGTTTGCAACTTTAACACATTATACTTAGTCGGGCTAATAAAGTAGTAGTAAAGGGCGTGAGTTGACTTGACTATACCTAAACTACACCTTTTCCACTTTTATTCGAGAAGTTGTAAATTGTATTTGAGAATTGTTACTTGTATTTGAGAAAACGTCAAAGTAGATGAGAATAGTCAGTTGGATTTGAGAAAACATCAAATGTATTTGAGAATAGTCAATTGTATTTGAGAAAGTATCATTTAATTTTATTGTATTTTAGAATGTAATATTATTCCTAATGAATTATAATTAAGAATCAAATTTTATAATTCCGCTACTGTATGTAGTCCCGCAACAGCAGCAGCAGCAGCATCAGGCTATGTTGTACATGTGATTTTGTTATTGATTCTCAAATGCTTAATTTTACCATTTCTTGAATACAATTTACTACTCTCAAATTCATTTGATGCCTTCTCAAATACAAATCACTATTCTGAACTACATTTGTTGTTTTCTCAAATACATTTTACTATTCTCAAATACAATTGATACTTTCTCAAATTAACTTGATAGTTTCTCGAATAAAAGTGGAAAAGGTGTAGTCAGGAATAGGTAAATATAGTTTTAGGACGGTGCTGTAACGACAATAGATAGAGCTATCCTGGATGGCTGGAAAGATGCAGAATTAACACAGTATCTACATGAAGGTGATAACTCATTTTCGAAAAAAATGTTGGTTACTGTGTTTTGGAATGGGACAGCCGGACCGATGTATTAAAAAGGTTCGTTGAATCTAAATAATTTCAAAACAACAAAGAACTTAAGAACTGTACGTTCAACACTCTTCCTCCATTTTATATAAGCAAGTCGTGGGACCGGGCCCTTTTCATCTACTAGCATTTACGTTCAGTAAATTAAGGGTATAGTATAAAGGTAAAATTAACTTTCTCCTACGACCATACAGGGCAGCTAAGCTAAAAGTGCACTCAGTTTCGGAAAAATAAACGATTAAAAACCTTCATTTTTCAGAACAATTTTAAGTCCTTCTTTTCATTATAATATGCTAAAGATTCTTGTATTATAAAATACTAAACGACTAAATCTTCGATCTCTTATCCCTTCGCTTGTACTTACCCGTACTGATATTTTGTATTGAAAAGTGGTGTTCATATGAAACTTAGTCATGTGATCTGGTTTTAACTAAAAAATGCAACCGGAAAAATGAACATAATTACAGGTTAAATTTTCACCCCGCCAACTTGTTTGCGAGCATTTTTTGTCAATTTTCCAGAATCTGTTACATTGAGAGTTGCGGCTTCACAAAATGGGCAAAATAATACCTTATCCAATTCGTCTAATCAATAAATACCCACCTTGGTACAAGAACTATAATAAGGTGTGGAAAAATGACGTAAGTGTAACATAATGTCACGTCCTGTCCTACTCTCCCAATTACAGGCAACACGTTTTCTATTACTCAACGGCACTTCAAAATACTGCCCCTTTATTACGCAAAGCGTTTCATTCAAATATTTCAATTGTTAGACTTTGCTTCCGTAAAAACTTAGCGACTGCTTTACGTCCGCTTTCCCGTAAATGAAAACCACGAAGAGAAAAATTTTAGGGAGGTTAGTTTCTGAAGTTATTCAAGTCATAAATCAATTTATCTACACCTTCACTTGCCAAGTTTTGACGGTATGTAATAGCCACGGGCTGGCTTCTAACATTAAATAGCTTATGCATTTTACTTCTATAATTAAATGCGAGGCGTGTTGTACATAAAATCTGGAGGAATTTCAAATTAAATTTCTAAGCGGATTTATTAATGAATGGTAACGATTCGCACGAAAGTAGAAGCAACAAAGAGAAACTGTTTTCACCATCCTATTTGAACATTGAAAGGAACTCTCTTTTAAAATCAATTAAGGGAACTTATCTGCTTTAGAAATTATGCTATACACTTTTTGAAGTTTTTCGTTTTTTATTTTCGTCTTAATTATCTACAGCCAAGGCTGCCAATAATTCAATTTTAGCGTAGTGAAGGCAATTATTAAATTAATGAGATGCAATGTATCCATAGATAAACTTCAAAGTAAGCCGGGATCCATTGGCAGTAGTTTTCCACGCAAAAATTTGAAAAAGTGGTCCATTGATATTTTTTTGTGATTGTTCTATACGAAAACGTAATAATAAAAAGGATTAATTTGGAGAGGTAAAAGGCGATAATAGAATTTTAAACGAAATCGACACCCTTACTAAAAAAATAAGAAAACAGTTTGAGCGTAACAAGGATGCAAAATATTAAAGCACTATACCTACTTCCTTTTATATATTCCGCTTACACCCCTGGTTTCTACAATAGCGTCAGGTATACCTGAGGTATACCAATTAGGTGCTATGACCTGTTTCCGTTGGTAAGGATTTCTGTTAGACGAAACTGAAACGTTTTATTAACATTAATTTGTGAAACAAAAATCAACGCATTTTACTGTTGGAACACTATAATTATAAATATCTTGAAAGACTAATTTGCACAATTTTAAGAATAATGCCAGTGCACAGTACCAGTAAATTAACATTGAAACATGTTTGATACACCATATAAACAAGCTGCAATTTTTTATTGAAGTTAACAACCGTATGGAGTGAGCAATAAGTGATCCTTACAAATAGCGCAGAGACTAGAATGAATATCTACCTACTTGCCTATACTTAATGGAATGAATGAGTACAATATGTACATAACTGTTGTTTTAAGTACACGTAATTAACAGTAAACTTTCTATTAAAGCTTCTCTCCGCTTAAACTGGTCATATTGTAGTAGGAATGATCAGGAAACCGCTCTAATTCTATATAGTCAGTTTCACTTATTATTAGTTTCTCTAACAGCTCCACACACTCCTCAAAGGATGGCCGCTGTTTTGGATCTTTGTCCCAGCAGTAGTACATTATATTATATAACTCTCTTCTGCAATGTTCTGGTTTCTCTAGACGATAACCGTCTCGTACCTGAAAAGAGGAATTGGTTAAAATAAGTGAACATCAACAATTAAAATTACAAGTTAATGAAAACGTATTGCTATATCAAAATATAAAAAGTATTAGAATACAATTTTTGAAGCCTCTCTCTACTACTATAAGTAGCATCCCCAGTGTTGACTAAACGAAACACATACTATGCACGGGAGTTACACGAACCAAATGGACCTTTTGCACCATGCTACCAGTTTAATATTCAATAAGATGTTAAGTTGGGCTACTCGTATGGCATTGGCGACACTGTGTGTCGAATGTGAAGTATACTCGGAGGTATACCATTCGTAACTTAATATAACTATTTTACTTCCCACGTAGAATTCGATATCTTATGTATGTACCTTTTACACCCAAAATGTACAGCGAATATAATGTGCATCTTATGTATATACTATATCTACATTGATTATTCATTCATTCATTCATTTTATGTACGAGGGTTGTCCAGAAAGCAACAGACGTTTTGAAATAAAAAATTGTAAAATTGTAAAGAAAATTTTTATTATATACATTTGGGAGCTACACTCTTGGGTTATTTATCAACACAGGCGCAATTCAAATTGAGGCACTTATTATAGTGTTTTGTATAAACCCGCCGCCTGAGATTTTAATAATAATAATAATAATAATAATAATGCCTTTATTACGAAATTATATAATGTAAATAAAATTAAAACGAAAATAATCTAGGCGGAGTTCAACACGTTGACCTGGACGTACAACTGTTGCTCTACCACTCAACCTAGTGTATCATTCACACGTTATACACATACATATAAAATAAATTTTTTTTTTACAAATCTAATATGAGTGCTCACTTAATAACCTACACTTCGTATTTTTTTTTTAAAGACGATAACGAAGGAGAATTTTTGAATATATTAAAATATCTATTGTAGCAGGTAGTAAAACTGATAAATAAATGACCGTTCGAAAAAGTGAGTATTGTGGAGAGGGACATCTAGATTTTAACCTGCACGCTGGCATGAAGTTCGGTGTCCCTATCGAACCGCTGCGTTGCGATCCAGGTCTTCATCGCTGGGAAGAGGTGGAAGTTTTGTTTTTCGATGACAACGCCCGCTCGCACACCGTCAACCGTACTGGACAGCTCTTGGATAATTTTGGATGGGAGATTTTTAATTACCTTCGATACAGCTCGGATCTAGCGCTAAGCGACTTCCACCTCTTCCCAGCGATAAAGACCTCGCTCGCACCACTTGCACAGTGATGCCGAAATTCAAGCCGGCGCAGCGTTAACCAGTGATTAAAGACTCAGGCGGCGGATTTATACAAAGTTGGAATCAAATCACTTGTTCCACGCTATAAGTGCCTCAATATGAATGGCGACTATGTTGAAAAAAGCTTCCAAATAATGTATATAATAAAAATTATTTCTTACACTTTCTTAATTTTTTATTTCAAAACGTCTGTTACTTTCTGGATAGCCCTCGTATATACATGAGATTATAGGGTATGGACCTTATGGATGTTGTGAGGTGTTCTGTATTACCGACGGTACTTTATCGTTAGCGGCGCGTTTTCCGTGAATTATAAAAACGCGAAATACCTTCGAAACATCTCAGTTAGACATAGCATCGTATTGAAAAAGTCATACTGATTTTTTATGAGGAATTCGAAAATGCTATCAGAAAAGGTAGTGCCATTTGAAATAAGAAAGTTCCGGTATCGTTCTGATACTGAAAATATTTTTTAAATGATTCTTTTCATCGATTATTCAAAAAAGTTAATAGGTCCCGAATCGAAATTCCAAACCGTTCCTGAGATACTTCTAATGGTCCACTTAGAAACACCACCCTGTATACTACCACACTTACACAAATAATTCTAATTTATGTATAGATGTAATGTAGATAACATGCATCCTGAAGAACAAAGGAACCTCTATGGAACATTTATTTTGAATGTATACAAAGTACATGGAATATCTATTTGCATATTATTGGAATATTCATGGTATATCTACTTATCAGTATGCTAATATACGAAGCATGCCTGATACATGTAATAAGACATCCAAAACGTATATACTATGTATTATATTATATGAAGTCTATGAAACGTACATCCCAGATACACATACATAGGACATTTTCAACATTCTATGGAAATACAAAATCCCATGGAGAATGTGTGGTTAATGTATATTGTTGTATCAACAGCTGGACGTTCGTTATGTTGGAATAATGGCGAAGATAAGGACGGGCAATCCTGCATGTGTGAATGTTTTAATTTACCTTAAATCTGGAGGATTTTATTACGAGTAAGCAGGGAATTGGTTTATTTGATCGGAATTTGTTATTTTGATGTATATTTGTCCATTTTAGCTTTGTTTTGAATTGCTTAATTTTTTGTTTAAATTTTATCCTTTGTGTAAATTTATTTATTAAAATTATAAGATGTGAAATTATGTGTTAGAATGTTAAACTTCTGGCCGAGTGCATTTAAGTGCTATCTGGACGTTTTGAAGAGTTATGAAATTTAAAGCATTGATTAAATTTAAATCGTTAGTTACAGATTAGATTCCATAGACTGTGGTTATTGACGTGGGTGTAAGGTGCCAGGAAGTTCATCAAAGTCTAAGGAGGTATATCAATGTCTATAATTAGGTACAAGCCATGGTATAAAATTTGGCAACGTTGCATTTGAGAATATTAGTAGTAACTAGACTGGCCACTTGGGCGTATTCCAAACTTATTATGATAGAGTTTTCTAAGTTAGGTAGCTGAATTTACGCTTTTACATTAAACATTTTAAATATAAGAGAAAATGCGATTGAGCTATGTGGTTATAATGACGTGAAAAAATCATGCTTGAGGCGAAAGAAGAGCATCACGAAAAGAGAGCTCCATGTGAGAGAAAGTTTTCTTTTTTACCATGTCAGCGGTTGAAATTTAGTATTTTTGTGCTCCGTGGACTAAATCAACGTGTTTTGTCATTCATTTAAGGGACTAAAGTGTCACTTTTCCTCCAGGAGGGAGTAAACGCGACGCGGGACAAAAAGTGACAGTACAGTACAGAATTGTCAAACACAATGCTTAATTGTTACCTTTATATGTACATTTTTATTCTTGGACCATATTTTACACATATTACCTATACCGTTTTCCATATAATATCTTTATGAATTTGAGAGGTTTCCTTATAGCTTGTTCTTCAGAGTTTTAAACGATCATGTCTACGCCGTAGTTTTACACTAGAATCTTTAAATCAAACTGATTTTTATCATTATTGTAAGAGCCCGCGACGCAAACCATTACCATTCAAATAGCAGCATAAAACGTATACATGAACAAGTATTGGAGGTGACCATACACGAAATGCTCGGTCTGTCGGGCCGCATTTAGCCGGAAGGTAAACAAATTCAATTGTTTATTTGCATATTTCATCATTACTTTTAAGAAAAGCAGGTCATATGTGGTACCAAATTAAAGCTCTTGAGGTCAGCTGCACAAATAACTCGGTCTGTCGGCAGGCAAATAGCCGGAAGTCCTTGACAGACCGACATTTAGTCTGCTGCTGGAAGGCGACATTTCAGTTAGTTATAAATTTCTACGGTCACTCTGATCCAAGCATTTTAGTTCTGTACCAAAGAGTAAATAACCATAAACCTCTACAGCGGATCTAAAAAAGCGGCTGAGCTCCTTGGTTTGACCCTACGGGGTCATTGAACATTTAGTCTGCTGCTGGAATCCCACAATATAAATTGTAAAGTGAAGAAAAGTTGTTCATTTAGAACAGGATTTATACGCCAGCCCAAATTTAGGAACGTTAGCATAAGGTAACAAGGAAGAATTCAAGTCAAGGATACAATTAATTAAAAACCAAAATAAGCAAAACGCTGCCAAACGAGGAACAATAATCACATTAGGAAACAAACCAGCAAACGATGCAAAACAATCGTAAGCATTCTTGACTAGGTCGACGCATCAGCACCTCCTATTTCATTAGAATAGTAGGTTAAGAAGCAATTGCTGTGATATAAATAGCGTATGAGCATAGTCACTAAACATTATCAAATCGTTCTTGATCTGTAGTGCATTCGCAGTTCGGAACTAAGCGGTAATCCCCAGACGAATTTACATTGTGTAAGTTTGTTGGGTGTGCAGTTACCTTACCCTAACTCTACAAAAGTTATCGCCAAAATGTGAAATTAATACTTTTCTTCACTTTACAATTGGTTCATTACTTCAGCGGACATGCTTTTGTAATCTCATCGATGAGCTTCAGAGCTTGTACCGTTTTGTTTTTGAATTGAATGATTCTCTTATATTTTGAGCTAACTGTGGGATTCCAGCAGCAGACTAAATGTTCAATGATCCAGTAGGGTCAAACCGAGGAGCTCAGTCGCTTTTTTAGATCCGCTGTAGAGGTTTATAGTTATTTACTCTTTGGTACCTAAAATGCTTGGATCAGAGTGACCGTAGAAATTTATAACTAACTGAAATGTCGGCTTCTAGCAGCAGACTAAATGTCGGTCTGTCAAGGACTTCCGGCCGACAGACCGAGTTATTTGTGCAGCTGACCTCAAGAGCTTTAATTTGGTACCACATATTACCTGTTTTTCTTAAAAGTAATGATTTCTTATGAAATATACAAATAAACAATTGAATTTGTTTACCTTCCGGCTAAATGCGGTCCGACAGACCGAGCGTTTCGTGTATGGTCACCTCCAATACTTGTTCATGTATACGTTTTATGCTGCTATTTGAATGGTGATGGTTTGCGTCGCGGGCTCTTAAGACTATCATTATACGGTCACAATTTGACATTACAAGGTATATTGAACCTACAATCAAACAAATTTTTTCTTTAAAATTTGCACTTTAACATTGAAATTGCTGTAGTTGATTACCAGAGTGAAAATAGCGTATATACCACAGGACTAAAGTGCGTCCTAAGAGCTGGTGGCGTCATACAACGTACCCAGGCATAGACGAACGGAAACGGAGAAA